GTCTTTTAAATGAATTATAATAAAATTTTTCTTCTTTAAATATAAATTTTTAAAATTTTTATGTATTTTGAATAATACATTTCTAGGACATAAATCAGTAAGTCCTAATTTTATAAGGCATGGTGTTTCCATCAATAAATTGATATCTTAATGCATTTTTCCCAGCCCTTACATTCTCTTCCTAATCTTCGTTTCTATTTAATTATATCATCATATTTGAATCTACACTAGTAGCAGATGATTACCCAGTTGCCTAGCTGGCGTCCAATTACCCTCCCTCCCTGAGAACACCTCTCCCTTACTGTATAGTAGCCTATGGTTTAGGCAGGCTGAACCTACCCTCTGCTCCGGGGGAGTAGGCCCTAAGTGCACCAAGCCAATTAGGGTAATCACATTCCTCTAACTACTTACAGTGATCTGGTCAAGGGTGATCTAATCAGATAAAAGCTCAGGACTTTTGATCCATTGTTGTGGGAATTAACTCTTTCCCCCCAAGGACGTGAACCAAAGCATGTGGCTTCCATTGCTGATGGTAGCAATCTTGCAACCAAAAGGAAAATCAGCATGAGGAACCCTACACTGGGAATGAGGCAAGTTAGGAGAATCAGTGGGGTTACAGTAAGAACAAACTATAACTAAAAGCTACGCTACTTCCACTTTTCTTTGTAGTTTGTTAGTTTGAGGTTGCTTTTCTGTTCTCAGCAACCAAAAGCATTCTGATGGAACCTCAAAGGAAAGCATATAAGAATATTCAATATGCCATTTCCCAAATTTACATATAATTGCCACTTTCTATTACTTAATTCATTTTGGGATGTGATGTTTATTCTTATAACTTAGAAAAAGAAGATGAAACATAAGACCTGTCTCAGTATCCTATGTTCTTTGCCGTTTTAACATGGTTGAACTAAAAAAATTACATTTTAAGAAAAGCCTTTTTTTGTTTTTAAAAGATTTTATTTATTTGACAGAGAGAGACACAGTGAGAGCAGGAACACAAGCAGGGGGAGTAGGAGGGAGAAGCAGGCTTCCCGCGGAGCAGGGAGCCCGATATGGGACTCGATCCCAGGACCCTGGGACCATGACCTGAGCCGAAGGCAGACGCTTAATGACTGAGCCACCCAGGCGCCCGAAAAGCCTTTTTTTTTTTTGACATATAATGTATTATTTGTTTCAGGGGTACAGGTCTGTGATTCATCAGTCTTACACAATACACAGTGCTCACCACCACACATAACCTCTTAAGAAAAGCTTGTAAGAGATAATCTATTTATAAGCTTAAGATCAACTTTAAGTTAAAATGTTAAGTATAGGGGCGCCTGGGTGGCTCAGTTGGTTAAGCATCTGTCTTGGACTTAGGTCACGAGTCTGCTTCTCCCTCTCCCTCGCAAATAAATAAAATCTTTAAAAATAAAATAAAATGGGGGCGCCTGGATGGCTCAGTCTTTAAGCATCTGCCTTCGGCTCAGGTCATGATCCCAGGGTCCTGGGATCGAGTCCCGCATTGGGCTCCCTGCTCAGCGGAAGGTCTGCTTCTCCCTCTTCCACTCCCCCTGCTTGTGTTCCCTCTCTCACTGTGTTTCTCTCTGTCAAATAAATAAATAAAATCTTTAAAAATAAATAAATAAAAAATAAGAATAAAATAAAATGTTAAGTGTAGGGAAACCAAAGCTGTTTGAAGCCTTGTAGTCTAAATGAAACAAAGCGGAAAAAAATTTAAACATCACCCACAGTAAATTAAGATAAAACAAGTAAATACTAACAATTATGGGTCCTCTTTTTAGTTTCTGGCAAAGAATGTTTTTGCAGACATTGTTAAGAGAAACTCTGATTTGTGGACACTTAAAAAGTACTAAACAAGAAGCACACAACAAGCCAGATGAGTCAAATTTTAAAAATTAAAAGATAATAATGTTGAACATCCCATAGTCTCATGGGATAAAATTTAAGAAAGCATTAATTCCTCAACTACAGAGGAAATAAAAATATTTTTAGCTACCTGGTCTGTTTTGGTTTTTTTTTTTTTAAAACCAAGGACCCGGGGCGCCTGGGTGGCTCAGTGGTTAAGCGTCTGCCTTCAGCTCAGGTCATGATCCCAGGCTCCTGGGATCGAGCCCCACATCGGGCTCCCTGCTCAGCGGGAAGCCTGCTTCTCCCTCTGCCTGCCGCTCCCCCTGCTTGTGCTCTCTGTCTCTGACAAGTAAATAAAATATTTAAAATAATAATAAAGTAGACTACAGACTTCGTGCTTTGAGAGGAAGTCCCACAAATAAATGACAGAGAACATGGAGTATGTGATTCAGAGAAGTGGCTTGAAAGAGCCAAGGCTCAGCCCTACTCCTCCCTAGTCACATGATCATGGGTAAACCTCTCCTCTTCTCCGTTTGCTTCCATATCAGTGAAGTGGGGATAACTCTACCTACTCTGCTAGCCTTACAGGACTCCTGTGAGCCTCAGACACATGAAGGATGTGAAAGATACCTTTGTGGGGCACCTGCTCAGGTAATGATCCCAGGGTCCTGGGATCTGGCTCCCTGCTCAGCGGGAAGTCTGCTTCTCCCTCTGCCTCTGCCCCTCCCCCCTGCTCTCTCCCTCTTTCTCTCAAATGAATAAATAAAATCTTAAAAAAAAAAGGCGGGGGAGAACCCAAGCTATCTTTTTTCCTCACAAAAGAACACATATTTCATGCTGAGAATTTAGAGAAAAAAAGCTAGGTAAAAATGATGAAAATCTCATGTACTCCTACTATTTTTTTATATGTCCCCTAGGGTTTTTTGTTTTGTTTTCTTTCTGTATGAATGGGGTGAAGAGGTATGGTGGTAATAACCCCACTAAGAAAATACAAATAATTTTTACTCAAGAATTAACTTTAGGGTGCCTGGGTGGCTCAGTTGGTTAAGCATCTGCCTTTGGCTCAGGTCATGATCCCAGGGTCCTGGGATGGAGCCCCACATTGGACTCCCTGCTCAGTGGGGAGGGAGCCTGCTTCTCCCTCTCCTCCCCACTTGTGAGCTGCTCTCTCTCTCTCTCTCAAATAATCTAAAAAAAAAATTAAAAAATTTAAGAATTAACTTTAGTTTTCGGGCCTGTTAATCAATAGTGCCAATGCTCATGAAATTAATAATTTGATAAAAATGCCATCTAGTCTAAGAGCTTTGAGCCGTAAGAACATAATTCCTGCCTCACGCCATGTTACAGGTGCTCAAGATCCAAACTAGCATCCACAGGAGAGCAACAGTCAAAACTACTGCCCCTGGGAAGGCTTTAAGGACACAGTAAATAGAATGAGAAGTAGTGGTGGCACCATTAGAATGATACCTGAGAGGTGTACCTCTCTTAATTTCTCAAGAAACCAAAATGTCTTCTTAGAGGAGGCAGTGGAAGTCAGGTTTCCCTGGTACCAAGTCAGAAAGGCAACTTCTTTGGTTGTTTTAAACTTTTTTTATTTTATTTATTTATTTGCCAGAGAGAGAGAGAGAGCACAAGCAGGGAGAGCAGCAGGCAGAGGGAGAAGCAGGCTTCCCGCTGAGCGGGGAGCCTGATGCGGGGCTCAATCCCAGGACCCTGGGACCATGACCTGAGCCCAAGGCAGGCGCCTAACCGACTGAGCCACCCAGGCGTCCCAAAAGGACAAAATTTTAGAGGAAAATATTAACGGAAACTTTAGAAATTTCCATTTAGAAATTTCAGCTTTCCTTGAGGAATTTAACCCCACATTTTAGACTCTTAAGTGCTACAGCTGGAGTTCTTTCCTTTTACGTGTATCTCACACTTCTCTGAACTCTTAGAGCACTGAGACGGCTTTATCCCCGCAATTTCATGCATCTTAACAAAGTGTCATCTTATTTGCAGGAACTTTACTTTTTCATGCCAGTTTCCACTCTCTGACCATAGAGTCATCTCCATGTGGTCGGAAATAGGCACTGAGCAATTTCTAACTGATTAGAACTGGGAATGCCGGGCGCCTGGGTGGCTCAGTCGTTAAGCGTCTGCCCTCGGCTCAGGTCATGATTCCAGGGTCCTGGGATCGAGCCCCGCATTGGGCTCCCTGCTCATCAGGGAGCCTGCTTCTCCCTCTCCCACTCCCCCTGCTGGTGTTCCCTCTCTCGCTGTGTCTCTCTCTGTCAAATAAATAAATAAAATCTTTAAAAAAAAAAAAAAGAACTGGGAATGCCTATAATAATTCCAAGGCAGAGACAAACTATAGTACACAGCGTTATTTGCCACTCAACAAGATCATTAGGAGAATAATGACCTAAGAGGTTTTTAAAAATACTCTGAAATTAATTCAAGTCTTCTTATAAAGAAACCCTTCTATGTGGAATAAAGTGAAGCTCTTTGTTTAGCCGAAAGAACATGCCCAAACAAACCCCACAATTTACCTCGATAGTAGGCCTTTGTTATTGCATCAAATTCCTCTTGACCTGCTGTATCCCACAACATCAGTCTGACATCTTCATCATTAACTCTGAAACAAGAGATGAATTCATTTCATATGTAAAGAAAACATCTTTAGTAACATAGCTTTGTGCATATTTCTGTTTTTCACGTCGGAAGGTTTTAAAACTACACTGTTGGTTTCCACTCTGAAAAAGTCTGAGTGATTTTAAGTGCTGACACCACTACCAGCAGTGAAACTAAAGGGGTGAAGACACTCCCCCAAAGCTGTAACTTCCTACATGATTTGAGTTTACCTGTCATGTTTTCTCCTTTAACAACAGTCACAGACAGTGGTGGTTCCAGGACTAGCAGCACGGGGAAGGGGATTCCCTTAGGTCAGTACTTGCTCTCCTCTTGCTATAACATTCAGGTCACAAGTGATAGAATAAGAATAAGAAAGGAAAGAAGCAAAAAAGGAAGAAAAGAAAGAAGGGAGGAAGAAAAGCAGCTTGGTTGCCCTACAACTTAGAAATTTACTCTTATTTTGTCATATAGTGCATTGCCTTATTCACAGTAGTTACATCTATAAAGTCACTGCAAACACTGAATTATCAAATACTGAAACACTGCTCCTAGGGCAAATACAGGGTTAGGTTCCTGTGACCCCTAGTTACATTTTCCCTAACGAATCAATACATAACCTTGTTGTGTTTTTTTGTGGTTCTGTTTAAAGATAACTTATTTAATACATATTGTTAATTCATTAACATTGAACTCAAGGCCAATAGCACTGTAACTCATGCGTAAATGAAGTGTACCTAACATACATATTTTCTCTATAAGGCACATCATAGCCTTCTTGTACTTAGGAAAACTAGACAGCACTATGCTTGGGGGCCATTTTAAACAGCGACATCATCAACAAGAAGTACAAAAATGTGGCACAAAAACAGACATGAGAAAACACTTGTTTATAGTGTGAGGGATGAAGAAAGAAGGAAGCGGGTAGCCTTGTTCGACCTAAGCTGAGAATGTGTATGTAGGGTAGCAAATATTTACTGCTCTGTGCATATCCACGAATGACCACCAAAGCACTGGGAGTATTGACTCTGGGGATACAAATAGATTTTAGCAAGTAGATCAGTTGCAAATATGGAACCTATAAACAATGAGAACCTTAAAGTATAACTATGGAATCTACAAATATTGAGGATCACCTGTATATTTAAAATATTAATTTGGTTCAGATAACAAATATAAAAATGAACATCATGAAGGCTTAAAATGAATCCTCAAAATATCTGAGAAAGGAAGTAAACACAGAAGTGTTTATAAAAGAAGGCAATAGGGGGATGCCTGGGTGACTCAGTCGTTAAGCGTCTGCCCTCGGCTCAGGTCATGATCCCAGGGTCCTGGGATCAAGTCCTGCATCGGGCTCCTTGCTCAGCGGGGAGCCTGCTTCTCCCTCTCCCTCTGCCGCTCCCCCTGCTTGGGCTCTCTCTGTCAAATAAATAAAATCTTAAAAAAAAAAAAAAAGACAGCAATAGAATACAAATTAGAAATCGAACAATCTTTAAAACAATGAACACACCTATCTTTAATGCTAATGTCTAGACTAGTCAGATTTGTTTAATGTTACTTATTTCTTTAGTATCTGTCAGTGTCTCTACAACTTAAAATATGCTTGGGGTGTGGGAGAATGGGCAAAATGAGTGAAGGGGAGTGGGAGACACAGACTTCTAGTTATGGAATGAATAAGTCACAGGAATAAAAGGTACAGGGAATATGGTCAATGACATTGTAAGAGCATTATATGGGGACAGATGTTGCTACACTGTGGTGAACACAGCACAACCTATACAGAAGCTGAATCATTCTGCTGTACACCTGAAACTAATGTAACGTTATATGTCAACTACACTCAAATGAAATGAAATGAAATGAAATGAAGTATCTTTAAAAGTTCTCAGGACTGGGGCGTCTGGGTGGCTCAGTCGTTAAGCATCTGCCTTTGGCTCAGGTCATGATCCCAGGGTCCTGGGATCGAGCCCCACATCGGGCTCCCTGCTCGG